AGAGAAAAAAAGACAGATGTCCTGAGTCTCACAAAAGAACTGTTAATGGCTGGTGATGCTGCTGAGAAGAATAAAAAGGTATTTCCAGCATGCTTTTATGAAGAACTGGAGGAACATATAAGGCACAAGAAATAAACCCCCTTTCTTTTAGTGTTACACATCTAGAAAGGTCTAAGCTCAAGAGGCTCATTACTGCTTCCTAGGAAAACTTGTGGTGATCTTCCTTCTTCCTGATTCATATAAACAAAAAAAAAGGGAAGACTTGGACAATAAAGGATCTAAAGGGATTCTATCCCATCTGAGTGATCAATGTATGACCTTCTCAGTACTTCTTTATTCCCTTTATGGTGAAAAAGCAAAACCATGCCGTGCCTCCTTCAATCGCACTTACTCAGGAAATCACAAAGTTTTGTTTTCATGGCTGGAATTAATTGCTTAATGATTAATGTTTTGCCAGCCAATCCCTCAGTCTGTGGTTTCTGATTAATGACAGAGAGGCCACAAGGCTCTCAGGTATTCAAAGATTATTTATTATACCTCCAGGTTCTGTCTGCGCTTTCACAGCATTTTACCAACACACTTGATTTACATCATCATTTTTAACCCTTTTATGGTGTCTCACAGCATTGTGTTTTCACATTTCCAGTAGACTTCGTAGCTTTGATCTTTCAGTTAACTCCTGCACTCCAAGATGAGAAGCATTTCTCAAAGCCATTTGGATAAGGATGACTTTTCCAGTGTGTTTGCTTAATGTTGTTATTGCTCTAATAACCACACTAAGCAGCACCAGAACAATAAGCCCATACTCTTTCTCAACTCACAACATGAATTTTATATGAAACAAAAACTTGCAGGTGAAACCATCTGTTTGCTTTGGGCAATGCAGCTGTGAGGACTTCTGTGCACTGCACAATGCAGGACCAGACTTTGCAATTCAACTTGTACTATCGATGGCCTAGAGTTTTTGGGAGCCAAATCTGTAATATCGTCGTACCACTCTTTTTTCAGAAGGGAGAATACTCTCTGAAAAGCAGGCTCCTTTAAGTCAACACAAATTGGCACCCCAAATCAAGGCACCAAAATCCGCCGGTCATACTTCACTATTCTTTTGAACGATTAATCTATTCAGTAAAAGGAGAGGTTGACATTTATTGGTTGTAGATTAGCACCCGACACTTGTATTAATCCAACTGTATCTTGGAATGGACAAAAAATAACATTAATCTTATCTAGTTTTGCATATCTAAAATCTATTCACCCTTGGGTCTTTTTGGAATTGTTGGTGCAAATCAGCCAATTTTGGAGGAAAAATTAATCTCACCTATCCAAGACCCTTATTCTAGAGTGAGGTGAATTCCTTCTGGAAGCACCTCTTCCTCTCAGTTGACAAAAACTTTAAGTTGGTTTAATATTAAAAAAAAAAAAGTAATACACCTAGTTTAAATCATGTTTTCTTCTATTCAAAACTATCTAAAGGGTAAAAAAAAAAAATCTGTGCAAAATGCAGGGTACCAAGTGTTTTTTTCTCTTTGGTATAATGTGTCCCCTCTCACATTTTTATAACACCGTAAGTCACCTGAAAGCTTGCAAAACAAAATCGTCGGATTACAATCAAATCAATTTTATAAACATGTTCTCTGAGGAAACAGCTGAGAAAATACTGGATGCTGCAGCCTTAGTTATCCATATAAACTGACAGTGAAAGTGTCATAGATTTCTTTCCTTGTATTAGCCTGAATTTGCACCTCTTCTTTTTCCTCTATGTCACCACAACACAGTTGGGTCAAGAGACTAGTTTAGCACCTTTGGGTTCACTAACAGCAGATGGCATCACTTAACTCTGCTTCTCTTCTGCTACAGAGAGTTGATGCTGCCTGCACCGTAGTAACTTGTAGCTGCCAGAAGAGCTCCCGGTCACCAAAAAGAGCCACTGGACAGGACTGCTAGGGACAGCAGAAAGTTTGCAGCCTTGCTGCCTACAGCAGACTGCTGGAAGGCCAGCTGCTGACTGTTGCTGGTACCTGTGGCTGGGGAAGAGACTGGGATGCTGGAGCGGCATCCACCCACACATGGTCCCTACAGCATTTGATGGCCCTGGCGCACCCATTCCCTTTAGTGGCAGTTGACGCCTCAAGGGCGCTGCCTCTGCTCTTCTGTTTCTCACCTTACCATTATAGAGGAAGCCCAGCTTGACTCCTTGTCTGCTTTGTTTCCATTGCTGAGGTGCCTTGAGCCATCTCCAGCTGATACAACTTCCCCATTTTATGTTGCAAGGACCAAACTTTTTATGAATTAATGCTAAAACCCAGGGCTTCAGCCCTACTTGAAACTTGGATCACGATACGTAGCAAGGCAAAACTACATTTACATTGTCAATGAGATTCTCAATCCAAAACCTTATAGAGCAGCGATCACATACTCTATCATCCATGGGCCAAGAACAACAACGATGAAGACGCAACACTCCCTGAGCAATGCCGTGCTTTGCATTTTCTGTTGTTTTTAGTTTTAACTTAATTTCCCGTGATCATGAATAGAATTTTCAAGAGTTTTAAGTGCAATACGCTGCTCGTGAGTCACCAAGAAACAGTTTTCAGCCTGTGGTCGCCGAGTTCCTAGGATCTGTGGACTACTCCTAACAGGACTGAGAAAAGCCTGTTTTCAACTGAGTTTACTTTCCTATTAAGCAGCTTTGAGGTATGCACATCTACTCCAACGTATGTCTGCAATTTGCAGGGGAAAAAAACAATAAAGGTATCAGGTACACTAGTCTGAAAAGCTTCCAGCAGCCACGGGTCAATCAGAAGAGCTTTGAATCTCTACTTTAAGCATTTTCACAACTGCATTTTTGCTGAAGAACCTTCTCCTGGATTTATGTAGTTCTGAGTCATCTCCCTCAAGCCTTATGAACACTTCCCTCCCCGGCACCCCCAGAAGAGACATTTCCCATAATTGCACTGGCACCTACTGGTGAAATCCATCCCTCTCCAGTGGTGTGCTGAGTTACCCTCATCCTCCCAACCCTGGATTTCTAAGGGCAGCAATTAAAGATAATTTTTTCCCTTCCATTTTAATGGCTAATTTCTCCCACATCCTTGGAAAGCCTTGTAAGGTGCCACTAAAGTCCTGACAAGCTAATCTTCTACTTCCATAATTATTTGAAAAATATATAAACAAATGACTAACTAAAGCACAACAGCTGACATGAAAAAAGAACAGTCGCTACGGTCATAGGTCACTTGGTGTTCCTGTTAACCCAGTGGCCCCAGACAGGCAATAAATGCCTTCAATTCTTTCATTTAATTAAAAAAAAAATAAAATAAAGTGGAGCCATTACTTAAAATTATCAATGACAGGTGATCAAGTGGTTGGCAGTCCACTTGTCCCACATTTTTTACTTCAATCAAGATATGCCCGCTGCTATGTTTTCACATGTGGTGGCTAAGTTTCCCCTGAAGGTTAAAGCCAATTTTATTCCAAGATGCTGCCTGATAAAGCTGCCTAGGGGGAGCAAATAACGGTGCTCTTTTCACACCTGATTGGTAACTGATGGCCAAGCCTTGCACCAGTACAGGGAGGGAAAGGGCTCTGAATTAAGTCTGAGTTTACTGAAGTGTGTAATTGCCCA